CTTGAGTTAGATGATGGCGATCTTGACATCTTCAAGTTGGACCACCTTTCTTGACAGCGCTGGCTTGATGAAGGCTAGTAGATTGCTTCACCATACTCCACTATGGGTGAGCCTCTCACATGTCCATTGTCACCACAATGGACAGCAAGTTTCAAACATGATCTCTTCATGGTGCTCCACTTGAACTTGCACAACGCAATCTTGATGATGATCGCCACTTGATGTCATCCTCCATGGGTTATATGATATCTTCCTTTTGATGCACGCCCATGGAAACATACCTAACCCCACAAAGAACGCTCACATAGACCATGGGCTAATACACAAAGCGCAATGGACAATGCTTACCATACCATGAGATCACTTGATCTTACTCGGTACATTCTGTTTCCTTTGTGTGTTGATCAATTTGAACCACTATTTGTACTTAGTCTTGGTCAACCTTGTATCTTTCCAACTACCTTCATTAAGATGATGTCTTGAAGGTAAACATGAATGTTCACACAATCTTCTTGTTCAATACATGCTTGAAATATGCTCAACTCTAACATGAACAATATTTGGATAAGTCCCTGAATTTCACCTTGGTCAAGACATAATATCCTTCTTATAACCTTGAAACCAACGAATGGTCTTCTGGCAATGCCTATGGACAAAACTTTCAAATATAACTCAAGGCAACCATTAGTCCATAGGGATTGTCATCAGTTACCAAAATCAAACATGGGGGCACCATGCTCTTTCACCTTCCCTAGCCCCAAACACGGTGAAGTGTCATGTAGTCGACGTTCACATTACATCACTAGAGGAAGAACAACACAACGTATTATCAAAACATTGAACAGTGATCAACTTCACATGATTACTAATAACAAGACTTCTCTCATGTTATCAAGAACAAATAGAACTACTCACAACTCATATTGTTTATAGCGATGAAACAATTAGCCAATAATAATTTATAAACCCATAGGACGAAAACAAACTAAGCAGACAGAATAGCGATGAAACAATCAGCCAATAATAATTTATAGCATAAAAAATCATGTTCAAGTAAGGATTACAGTGGGTTGCGGGATATTGGACCACTAAATAGAGAGGAAGGAGGACGTTGATAAAGCCGTTGAAGTTGATGAAGAAGTTGGCGGTGACGATGGTTCCCCTGGTGCCGCTCCGGTTCCACTGAAAGAGAATAGGAGAGCCCCCCCCCCCCCTCCCTCCCCTCTCCTGCTTCTTCCTTGGCCTCTCCAATAGATAGGGA